TCTCTTTTCCTGTCTGGGGAGATCAGGTTTTATATGCACCCTTGATCATTACTTAAAAGACTGATCCATAAACCTCAAAAGTGTGAGCTGCATAAATCGATACGTTTCTATTAATCACATTTAGAGTAGAGCTGGGCAGACGCAGTTCCTCTTCCCCTAAATTTCATTACTGTAACCAATATCATAGGAAGAGTTGTTATCAGGTTAGCAGAGCGAGTGCTGCTCTTTGGAGAAACCGTCTCATCTTTCCTTATACGAGATGACTTTTGATGAAAGAAGGTTCCCAGAAAAAGAGAGAATCATTTGGAAAGGATCTTTTAGTACTTTTTTTAATCACCAGATGAATTTAGTATTAGGGCTGCACGATTCTGACAACAATCATAATTGTCGATTATTCCCTTGAAATTGTAATTGCGATTATTAATCACGATTACCACAATTTGCATTGAATGATGTTTATACCATTGTTTGATGCAACTGCATGCCGTATTTTTATTAATGAAAATAAACAAGCTGAAAACACTTTTATACTCTTTCAGTAACTTTTATTGCATTTCTATAGTATTAAGCCTCAAATGTAAACTATAAATCTTCTTTAAATTATAAAAAAGTAAAAATATGAATGGTATTATTATGTTATACTAAAACTAAAATTAAAAAAATAATGGGAAAAACCCTTGTAGAAAGAAAAAAACGCATCTTAAGCGTGCAGAATAACATAAGTGGACTTTGAACGATTAATTGCCGTTTTGAACGATTACGTAATTGTGGCATCCGTAATTGTAATCGCGATCAGAAATTCGACTAATTGTGCAGCCCAACAGTATTGTATACAGCGCTACACAAACAAAGTAAAATTGACAACTACTAAATTGACAAAATGAAGACATAAAACTAAAAGCTGCTGCTCACCAGCGCGTGCAGCGGGGGATGAGATCTCTCTGCAGCTCCTGCATGTCTGTGGATTTCTGCCACACTGGCTGCAGTTCGGCTGGCCTCCTGCCTACAAACCAAAGAAAAACACATCTCAATGCCTCATTCACTTCAGTCTCAGAATCATCCAATCACGAGTGAACAGCACTGGATGCAAGAGTAGAACATTAAATAAATAAATAAATTAAAAGCCCATGTGACCTCTTCACAATTGCAGTGCAAAGAGAAAAAAGCGGCGGCCTAAACACTAAAGGAATTTTGTGTTGACAACACACAAAAATGAGTTCAGAAATCCATTTGATTGAATTCTAGCAAATGCAAAATAATCGCAACGCTCGAGTGAATGCGGTTTACAGGTTTCATAGAAAGAGTATGATGTGCGCCAAATGAGTCACTGTAGAAATTTCATGATTGCGAACGAAATGGCTCAAAACAAGAGAGCTAACGCAAACGACATGTGAAATAAAACGTCACCGTGTTTACTTTACATTTACTTTTTTAATTTTAGTCAGTGTGTAGTGTGTATGTTTGGGCATTAGATCCAATCACGAGTGAACAGCACTGGATGCAAGAGTAGAACATTAAATAAATAAATAAATAAAAAGCCCATGTGACCTCTTCACAATTGCAGTGCAAAGAGAAAAAAGAAGCGGAAGAAATACAAAGAACGGCTCGTTTGGACTACAGCGTTGGTTTCCGGGGTTTGTGATATCACAAAGTGGCTTATTAGAATATAATTAAAATAGATGAAATAGGCGAGGTTGTGGTTAGAACGCTTGGTTGAGTGAGTGCATCAGACGAGACGATGAAGAAGAAGAGCTGCTGCAGAGTTAGTACATCAGAGAAAACCAAGAGCAGCAGCTGCTGTGCTGTAGCGTCAAATTTTCGGCATGTCTAGAACAATTCTTACAAGTATATGATGTGCGCCAAATGAGTCACTGTAGAAATTTCATGATTGCGAACGAAATGGCTCAAAACAAGAGAGCTAACGCAAACGACATGTGAAATAAAACGTCACCGTGTTTACTTTACATTTACTTTTTTAATTTTAGTCAGTGTGTAGTGTGTATGTTTGGGCATTAAAAAAAAGATCTAGAAAGTCCACTCCAAAGGGACATATATCGTTTTTAAAAAAATCCCTTTTCAAGAAATACAAAGAACGGCTCGTTTGGACTACAGCGTTGGTTTCCGGGGGTTGTGATATCACAAAGTGGCTTATTAGAATATAATTAAAATAGATGAAATAAGCGAGGGTGTGGGTAGAAAGCTTGGTTGAGTGAGTGCATCAGATGAGACGATGAAGAAGAAGAGCTGCTGCAGAGTTAGTGCAGCAGAGAAAACCAAGAAGAGCAGCTGCTGTGCTGTAGCGTCAAATTTTCGGCATGTCTAGAACAATTCTTACAAGTA